ACACACACACACACACACACACACACACACACACACACACACACACACCATACACATGACTTACAAGTATACTGGACTGGGGTATGGCCCTGCTCTTCAGCCTGCAGGTCCACCTCAGCACCAGATGAAGCTTGGCACTGGCTTCCACCTATGGGCTGGGTGGCTCCTGCTAGGTTCCGGTGCTCCCTGCATAGGCTGGGAGTCATGTTTGGCAGTAATTGAATGGAGGCTGAACCTCCACTTAGATGGGAAAGGTCCAGGCCCAGGCCCCAGCAGGGACCTAGGTGGCAGTGAACGACTGTTGGAAAGTGTCAAGAAGGGCACGAGAGCTCAGAGAGTCTAAAGGAGGGACAGGGAACCTTCCCAACTCTCTACTGTGAGTGGCCTTCGTTAGACTCAAGAGCAAAATGAGAAATGTTTAAGGGACAGAGTGAATGCGATGTCACAGGGGTTGTGTGCTGGACAGTGCTACCCTCTCCTGGCAGGAGGCTGGGCTGGCCGGGGCCTCTCACTCACGTGTGCAATATCTTGGCTGAGATCCACAGATACAGATAGAACGCTGCAGCCACCATGTTCTCTGGAGCTACCCTTCAGGCCAAAGTCTCCAAGGTGTATGACAGCCTAGCCTGTACTGCCTCTTGGGCCAGACTTCATCTTTCCCACACCCAACAAGGATGTGAAGGTGGCATCAGGGAGCCTGAATCCTGCTTGTTATAACATGGGCTCTATCCAACTGCTTGCTCTGCTGGAACTAAACCCTGGTACTGGCCACTTCAATGCTGAGTGGTCCTGAACTGAACATATTCTGGAAGGTGCCTTGGCTCTGCATCTCTGGCTAGAGGCAAAAGGGGAAAGACAGCCAGAGGCTCCTAGAAGGAAGCTCCCATATTTCTGAGACTTACACAACTACGGGAGAAGAGCCACGGGGCCTGGCTGGACCATGATGGGGGTCGGGGGTGCTGCTCAGGAACTGGGCAGCAGAACAAAGGTATACAGCCAACAGCAGAGAGTGAGGTGGCACCTTTTAAGTGTAAATATATATGCCAAGGTCATGGTCACTTCTCAGCAGGAGAGGCACCAAAGAGAAAAAAGCATACAGAGATGCTAAAAAGAACACAGCTCTGAGTAGAGGATGCCCACTGTACCGGCTCCTCCTAATTCCTAAGACAGTAACCAAGGTGGCTGAAGATGCAGGCTGCCATAGCCAGGATACCTGCAGTCTTTCCTATCAGCCAGGCCTCAGTTTAGTCACACCCTCACTGGGGCAACTGGAGACAAATGAACTCCAGGACTGAGGGCCAAGACCCCCACCCCCAGCCTCCTCTGCTCCCAGACTCCTTCTGGGAAGGGCCAGCCTAGTCAGACAGTGAGGACAGGGGTACAGAACTCAAGTCAGGAGAAAAGCACCTCTGCAGAGGGGGCCCAGCAAGTGTGGGAGGAGGGCCCATCACTTAAAGGTGTCGTCAGTGTTTTTGAACATGAGAATGGCGTTATAGATCTTCAAGGCTGGGCCAAGCTTGACACTCATGATCTTCACAATGTCCGCCTGTGTCAGCAAAAGGAAGGCCTCGCCGTCAATCATCTGAGGGGGCGGGAGAGGGAGGAAGGAATCGAAGGAAGAGGAAAAGGTGTGTGTTGGGGGGTCGTGAGGGGTGTGGGAGAGAGGTGAAAGAAAGATGAGGGCAGATAAGTGGGGGGGTATGAGGGAAGAAAGGGCATGTGGCAGGTGGGGAAGAAAGGAGAGAGGGCAACGAGGAAGGACAAAGGGGGGGAAGGAGAAAAGGAAGAGAGCAATGGGGATGGAGAAGGAGAGCAAGCCAGTCTGGTCCCCCGTGTCATACACATGCAAGTTTCTCTTTCTGCTGACTGGTCTGTGTCACCGCCTATACTGGAAAATCATGGTGGGAGCCCTCACAGATGGTAGCTTTGAGAAACCAGCCGCTGCTGTGTAGCTGGGGCTGGCCACTAGAAGTCAGAGCGCCTTGCTTGATAGTAAGAATTTCAAAACAGTGACAGCTGAGCACAAAGCCAAGCACACAAAGCCCCGGGAGGATGCGCAGGTCTCACGCCCGGGAGGACAACCTGGCTCCTGGTCTAGGCAATTTCACTCATTTGTCATCAGCTTCCGAAGTGCTGCCTGGACTCTGTAACCTGGGTAACAGCCTCCACATGTACACATGTGATCTAGCACTTGGGAGATGCCTGAAGTCAAAACAAAGAAATGCAAACACAAACAACGACAACAGCGCAGCCCAGGGGAACCCACGAGACAATCTCGGTGCTACGAACAAAAAGCTGGGCAGACGCTGCAGCATGGGTGCGACCTCTGACCTCTTCCTGACCCCCAAATCGGAGAGACAGAAAACACTTGACTCTCACTAAGCCTTTGGGTCTGATTTCTAGTTTTTGAATTTTTTTTTTCTGCTACAGTTATTTATTTTGTGTATGTGTGAGTGTGTGTGAGTGTGGACGTGCGCATGTCACTACGTGTGTGTGGGGGCCAGAGGACAATTTTCGGCAGTCAGCTCTCTCCTTCCATCATGTGAGTCTCAGGGATCAGACTCAGGCCTTCAGGCTTGGTGTCCAGTACCTCTACCTGCTTATTAGCCAACTTGCTAGTCCTGACCTACACTTTTAAAAAAGTCACAAGAAAAGAAAAAAAAAATGAGAAAAAGAAGGAAAAAAGGGAGTACTATCCTAGAATGGAAGAATTTAAGGGCTATATAACACCTGACATGATTTATGTGGGCCTTACATGGCTCAAAAACTATTTTTAAAAAATAGTTAACAGGTAACAGGAAATGTGCATGAGGGCAAGGTGTGGGGGATTGGAGAAGTAACAACACTGTATGAAAAAGTCACGAGTCTCAGTGCTCAGGGGAGTCACTAATGAGGCCAACAGTTTACTCCAAACACCCTCAGACAGAGCGAGTGTGTGAAAGGCTGACTCGTGTGCACTCTAGTCAGGGAGGCGAAAAGCCAGTTGTGAGGAGAGAGCGAGATGAAAAAAACAGGGGAAGGTGGTTGTACGGGGCAAGGTCTCAGGAGTGAAAACGATCTAAATGTCCGTTAACAGGACGACGGTCTGTTCATTAAATGGAGAGAAACTATGTACACAGCACCACACAGTCCCCTCCCCGCAGTACTACAGGGAACGAGGAGAGAGCCATAGGGCACCTGGGGCCTGATCCCCCTCACGTAGCTCAAGAGCAGGCAAAGCCAAGCTACAGCACTATCGACCCACAGTGCTGAAAAGTGTGATCATCTACAGTGGTTATGTTTCGGGGTGGGGCCTGACTAGAAGGCAGAGCTCTCTGGTGTGAAGGGAATGTTCTGTCTTGATGCAAGTGGATTCAAGGACACACATTTCATAAACCTTGCGGTGCTGGATGCTCACCTCAGTCAAAATTCATCTGGGGTGGGGGTGGGGGCATAGCCACAGAGCAGTGGCAGAGAGCAGCCTGAGCATTCGAGAAGCCCGGGGCTCAACTCACAGCACCAAAACCAAACCCAACCACGTCCCACCCCAAACAAACAAAAGTAGAAACAACCAGCGGTCCCTTGGAGAAGGAGCTTGGTGCATTTGCTCCATGTTAGTCAGAAGGTTCTAGGAAACAAGAGTCCAGCTGGACACCCAGAGAAGCATACATAAGATCAGCAACGTGGGGCAAACCTACACCCAGACCGGAAGAGGCGGACCGTGCCATGTCTAAAGACATCCCTCCTTCTCACAGGGGGCCACTCTGGGCAGCCGAGACCACACTGTACTGGTGCAGGGGACTGTTTCTATCGTTTTGGAAAGAGGCCTTAAACACACGGAAGGGCACCTTCCAGTTTCAAACTCTACAACTTAAGAAAGTCACGGATAAAGTTCTTTATTTAAAGGCAACTGCACACAAAAAGTTGGACTGCCATTTAGAGAGGTCTCCCCATACTGGACTTTTGGCATAGCGGTGGGATTTCTATTTGACTATGATATTGTTAGATGCACCGCCATGCCAGGGATATGATCATGCTAGATACTTCAGTGAAGACCCACTCCTTATTTCTAAAGTTCACAATGTCACAATGACTTGCAAGGCAGCCCTCAAGGCACTCGCTCTACCTCCATTTTAAAAACAGGATGATGTGTGCTCGGAGACAAGCCCTTGAAATCGGCATAGCTAGGATTCCAGCTCAGACTGCCTTCAAGCCTGGCATTCTTTCCCCTACAACTCATGGCTTCATATCTTTCCTGAGCTCTTGGGTGTTTGCTTCAGCATGTCAGAACCTCTGCGGCAGACATCAACACCTAGGCCATCCAGTATCTGCTTTGGGCTCAGTGGTATGTAAGGATGTAGCTCAGTAGTGGAGTACCTGCTCGGCCTGGTGGAAGCTGTGTTCTCTCCCTGGCACCACAAACTGTAAAAAGCTTCAACTCAAACAGCCCTGGGCAGAGAACACAAGAGCATATGGACCCCTTCTCCAGGGCATCCATTCCTTTCCAAAGGGAATCTGAACACAGTATCCCCAAGTGGGGCCACAGTCCCTACAAGATTTCTCCTACAGACGTGGGTGACTATGATTGATCAGAGGCCTTTCTCAGGCTCAGGTAATGCTGGTGAAGGTAGCGGTTTCCTGCCATCTCAGTGGCAGTGACGCCATCTCTGTCCCTCTGCACTTGTACCTTACCTCATCTTTGAAGAGGCGTGCTTGGTCCTCAGAGCCCGTCAAGGTCTGAACGAAGCCGAAAACCTTGAAAATCAAAGGAGATATATTGACCAGGGGAAGGGGACTCGGGGAGAGGTGAGACTCTATGGTCTTAGTGCCCTTGACTGTGCTGGCAGGTCTTTTTATTTATTTGTTTGTTTATTTATTTATTATATATACAATGTTCTGTCTACATACCAGAAGACAGCATCTGATCTCACAGATGGTTGTGAGCCACCATGTGGTTGCTGGGAATCGAACTCAGCACCTCTGGAAGAGCAGCCAGTGCTCTTAACCCCTGAGCCATCTCTCCAGCCCGGGCAGGTTCTTTCTTATCCACCTCAGGGGATCCTCACGTCTTTGTATGGTGGCACATGACAGAAGGTCGGTTCCTTGTTCCTTAAAGCATGTCTGTCCTGCTGGATCTTCAGCTTGACTGATAGGACAAACCCTCTCTATCCGCCACAAGGGGCCTGTTTTGGTCAGCCTTGCTGGGCAGCTAAAGGGGCTGAGGCTAGGAGGGTTGAACATAGGGTTGGAGGCTGTTAGGAGTGCTATGTGGCTCCATCTGAGCAGGCTCTGGCCTGAGTGCCCTGCTAGGGTGCGCTTTAGAGGGAGACTTACTCAGGGGAGGACGAGGAGGAGGAGGCGGCCAAGGAAGGGCTGCATACCTCCTCAATGGTCCACTTGGAGACCGTGGAGGCTGAGATGCCCGCCACTCCCGGCAAGAGCTTGCAGTGCTGCTCCCAGCACACAGAGAATGAGCGGTCAGGGTGTGTCGACAAGGTAGACATGAAGAGGGACTGGTGCACCACACTGGGAGGGAGGGCTAGAAGGCAGAAGCAGAAAACGATGGCCTAGAACCAAGGACAGCTCACGCCTGTGCCACTGGGGATGCTGGCTGGCACTGCAGACAGGAGCAGGGCCCCTATTGTAAGCCTGCAGAGCCATGTGGGGGACCTGGTGCTTATTCCTGCTGCTCCAATGGGTTGCCTGCTCACAGGCTCCAGCATCCGCTGTCTGGAGGGACCCCAGTACTCTGGGACTTGTGAGGATGCTCTCTTGGAGCTGCTGGCTTCAAACAGTCTGCAGTGTTCAGACAAGTTTGTCCCTGGTATCAGAGATGACTTCTGTGTGTCCCTTCTGAAGTCCTTTTGGACTCTGACCAACTCTCTTAGTCTAGGGCAGTTTTGTCACTAGAGAACGAGTTCTTATCAGCTCTCCAAGCCTGGGCTGCCTATAGCTTGCTTTCTGACCTGCTCAGGAGTCCCTGGCTCCATGGGTCAGGTGGCTGAGGCCACTCTGCTTGGCTCCCTCTTCAGCAGGTCTGGTCTGGCATTCATCCCTTGGACTTTACTCAGTTCAGCTGCTGACAACCTGACCCTATGCTCTTTAGCAGGTCCAGGGACCTCCACAGCTTGGCCATTTTCCTGGGGGTCTACTCTGCCTCGGTCTACAGTTAGGGTCAGTGCTCTTTTTCAGTGTTTGCTACTAATTCTGGATGCAGAGTATAGCACTTCCAGTGCCATTTTGCCTACGGAAGCCCCTGCTTGCTACAGACAGTCCTGCCCCAACCCACTTCCTACACCTCAGCCTCTTGACTTCTTCAGCAACTCGTATCTCCACTCCAGGCCTTTCGGGTTCTACCACAGCCCCACTGTTACCCTCTGCATCTCTCCCAGGCCTGTGTACGGCTCACCTAAGCATCACTGAGGGGCTGTTCCTTCCCTGTGACTGAAGGCCAGCTCCAGCTGTGATCCAAAGGCTGTGCCTCCCCTGCCTGGCCACATTTTAAGTTCTCATCACGCAAAACCCTTTTTGATGCCCTGGGTCCTACCTTATTCCTCAGAGCCAGACTCTCAGGAGCAGTCACAGCATTTTACTTAACCACCTAGCCACACAGCTAAAAGGGATGACCCTTGTGAGTCATCTGAGCAATGAGGACAGCCAAATCCCAGGTGCCGTCCCCTGATGGAGTGGTCACATCTACAACCTATATTGAGGTCTGCTGTGGATGTGTGAGGAGTCTCCTCTAGAATGGTCAGCATGGCCAGTGTCCCTCCTGTGGAGGTGAAAGACCCAGGCTCGTCCCTGAGATGCCTCAGGGGCTTGGCTGAATCCTGAGGCTTTTTTTTTTTTTCCTTTCTTTTTTCTTCTTTGGGCCACAGCTACAACCACTGGAAAGACTGGCTTCTGAGCTGGTGAGACGGCTTAGCAGGTAAAGGTCCATAAGGTACTTGCTGTGCAAGCCTGAGAACTTGAGTTGGATTCCCAAAATCCATATAAAGGTAGAGAGAGAGAACTGAGTTCTCTCTGAGAACTGAGACAACTACAAAGTTGTCCTCTGATCTCCATGTGCACACCGTGACATCTTCCATGCTCTCCTTTTCTTTCTCTCTCTTCCCCTTTTCTGTCTGTCTGTCTGTCTCTCTCTCATACACACAGGACCAACAGTTTAAGAACACAGTCAGTCAGGAGGTGCCCTCTTGTGGTTAGAATGTAATCCAGCAACCGAGAGCTGACCCTGGCAGGCAGAAGAAAGGCCTCCCATAGCCTGACGATGAAACAGCCTGCAGGTATGCCCAGAAGTCAGGCAAGATGCTTGTCATTCTGGCCTGAGGCAACAAGAGCTGCCTTCAGTTTCCACCAAGAAGAAACAGTGAAGAGAGAGGCAAGAAGGAGTCTTTCAGGCGCAAGCGTACGACTGATGTGCAGCTGTGCTGAACGCTTTACTGGGACCTTCTTAGCCGCCTACCACACTGCACAGTGAGACACCAGCGATGCTCACACAGGACAGACCAGCATGGGTGCAAGCAGTCTGCATGCCAAGGAAAAAGGCCCAGGAAGACACCAGTCCTCACACCTTGCCTGTCCCTCCAGAACTTTGAGAACTACGTGCCTGCTCTTTGATATTTTGTTATGGAAATCCATGCAAATGAATCCAACAGGGTTGGGCACTGACAGGACATTAGGGCATAGGGTGCTAAGCCTACTGCCGGAGAGCAGAAGTCAGGTCTGAGTTTGAATCCCAGCTCAGCGCCTCACCAGGGGAATGACCCTGAGCAAATGGCTTCATCCCTGAACCTCCCGTTTCTCCTCAGACACAGTGCAGGAGGCTGGAGAGCAGCGAGAGGGCACATGTAAAGCCTGGCTCAGTAAACAGTAGTAGCTACCATCATCATTTCAACCATCGACTCTAAAGGCGGATGCTTCTCCATGCTTTCCAGTGAGGAAAGGGAGGCTCTGAGATGTTCAGCAACTTGCTCAAGGTCACACACAGCTGGCAGGCATGGCCTCCTGAGGACGCCTAGAATTGCAGAACAGAGCAGGGCCATTGCTCCACCTTGTGGAAATACATCACCACCCACATCTCACCATTTCCACAGACTCCTAGCAGGTCTGTGGGACCAGAAGCCATGCCACTCCAGGCCTTATCCTATGTTCTGGCCTCTGTCCTGGGCACCCAAAGACTCAAAGGAGTAGCCTCCTTCCCAGTTTCTCTCTGTCTGGTGCCCTGGTGTCTGATCCCATTAACCACATGGCATTCAGGGACCCACTTAACAGGGGACCTTAAGCAGGGGACCTGTACTCACCTTGGAAATCTTCTTGTGGAGTCTTGCGATACTTTGGAGGGCGTCCAATCCTGGAGAGAGAGGGACCAGGGCCGCAGCAGAGGATCAGTGGCTGGCTCAAGAAGACATGAGGCCCCACACCCGTGAAGCCCAGGACCTGACACCCTGGCCTCCGCACCGGCCATGATGGCGAGGCTTTTTCCTTGGGGACAAATTAGACAGGTTCTTCTTCCTGGCTGCGGTCTCCGAGTCGGACAGCTCCCCTGCTTTCAGCCGGCTCTGGTTCCTCTCGGCCAATGGGCAGCCAGAGAGGCAATGGTGAGCTGTGAACTTGCCTGTGACGTGGCCGGAGCCATCACAGCCAGGAGTGGGGCACTTCCTGGGGAGATGAAGGCTTTAGTTGGGCAGACCCACTGGTCCCTACAGAGCCTCCCTAACCTTGGTCCTGTTCATGTCTTGGGGAAGGCTGATGGGTCTCAAACCACAGCTGTAAAAGACTCTCCCTGAATGATACCTGCTTGCCTCTGGGTCTCACCTGTGACTTTACTTACCGGTGGTGAAAACTATATTTGGAGGTCTTTGTGTGGGGTGGGCTCCTGTGGCTGAGAGAGGGGCAGCTCCCAGGTGAGGCAGAGCTGGACTCTCTGGACCCTGCAGGGAAAGAGAAGTCAGCATGGAGTCCTGGAGACAGGGCAATGGGACAGGGAAGGGACAGTTTCCATGTGAGGGAAGAGTACTCGGAACTAGTTCTTTGGAGACCTGATCCTGAGCCAAGCTGTGCCACCATTCCTGCCACTGGGTGCCAGCAGTCATTTGGGAAGGACGGTTTAGCGCTTGTATACTTTGCTGGGACCTGTGGGCATGCCTTGGTTTAGTGTAGCAGGATGTCCTGGGGTTTAGTTAGGGGGACAGGCATCCCAGGCTCACTGTGGGTACTGGAGCCCTGGGAGGGTTGTCAGAGACTGGTGGAGAGGGAAAGAAAAGCGTGTCCTGGGGGTACACACGGAGAGGAGGCTCCAGGGGATGTCCTGTCTTGAAGCACCAGCCTGCAGGGTGGATGTCCGGGTGATCCGCATCGATCCAGAGGTCATAGTTGTGACTCCAGCCATCAAAGCGGAGCTGGGAAAGAAAGGCCCTGGGGGTCAGGTGTTGCTCTCAAAGCCCAGCTCAGAGTTGCTCTCCAAGCCATGGCCAAGATCTTGGAGAGGGAGAATACACAGTAACTGCTCTTGGCCACGTGTTCTGAGGGCTTCACCAGTTAAAATGCCATCATTTCCATTCAGTCCTTATGTAGGACAACAATTATTAGAGACCCTTTAAAGATGATAAGATTAAGGCTTGGAGAGGAAAGGGGGGCTTATCCAAGCCCATAAAAGTGAATCACAGATAAGGAGATAATGAGATCTGAGATCTTCAGCATCTATCGCATGCCATGCCTTTGACCTCTAAGTATTCTATAGAATTCCTGTCCCACTGACCTGTCCACTCCCCCCAGCCTAGGGTCCCAGAGGCACCTTTATCCGATGGTCCTCCACATCTTCCACGCTGGCTACCCGAATCAGTGCTGGGTTCCGGCGGTCTACAGCCTCCAGCTTCATGTTGACCAGGAAGCTGTGGGGGAGTCGCTGTGGGGAGACAGGTGCTTTCAGACTGGGGCCCAGCCTGGAAGATCTGAGGCTCCAAGAAGAGAGTCACAGGAGAGACTGTGTCTTGGCCAAGACCTCTCTTATGGCTGACTGGCCAGGAGCACAGCTTCCTAAGCTCAGTTCTGGGGAAGGCAAGAGGCAACTTACCACTTTGAAGGCCCAAGTGGGCACAGCTGAGGTCCCAGTTTCTTCTAGATATTTCTCCCAGCAGAAGCTGTCAGGGTCTGGATAGTCTGGAGAAGAGGGTGAGAACAATATCTGAGCCAGCTAGGTGACTCAGGGAACTCTCTGTCCCTAACTGGGATCAAGAACATGGAGGGAAGCCAGGTATGGTGGCTCATGCCTTTAATCCCAGCACTTGGGAGGCAGAGGCAGGCAGATCTCTGTGAGTTCAGGGCCAGCCTAGTTTACAAAGCCAGTTCCCAGGCCCTAGGAGAGAGGACATATATGTCCTTTGCTTGAGACCCCTGTATGCTTAAGGTAGTCATCTAACTTTCTTTTCCTAACACCCCCCCCAAAAAAAACAAAAAACAAAAAAACAAAACAAAACAAAACAAAAAAACAAAAATCAAGGCTCCAGGCCCTATCTGTTCCCAACTCTGATCCCAAAGGGCCTGCTAATGAGATACAGGGACCATGTCTAACATGAATAAGACAAGGTGGGAGAGCCAGGCCTGGGAAGGATTCATGCTCAGGCATCGGCCTCACCTTGTGGAGGGGTGAGGGGCTTTCCTTGCTTCTGGCACCAGCCTACCGGGTGGATGTATGGGCTGCTGGGATCACACCTGAAACCCAAGAGTATGTCACTGCCCCAGGAGACATGGGGAGGCCTGAGCCTGCTGTTCTCACAGCATGGCATCAGGGACTTCTGCAGCCCCCTTCTTGGTGAAAGGGAGATGGCTAAGGTAAGGTCAGAAAACTGCCACATTAACTGAAAGCTCTAGCACACCGCAACAGTTAATGGAGATCTATGAGGGTGTGTGTGCACATCTCAGCCAAGGTATTTTCAAGGGAAATAGGAAAAAGTGAGCTATGTATCTCTTGACACAGCTCAGGTCCACAGGGCAGCTCACTACCTACCCCTCCCCAATCTAGAACAAGATCTGGCTACCAGGTGTGGACTGGGTGGGGCCCCACAGTGTCTGAGGTCCTAGTGGAGATGCCTCCTGCCCCTGGTATCTCCTCCCCAGCAGGCCCCAGTACCAGTAGTCATAAGTATCGTCCCAGTTGTCAAAGTGCACCAGGAAGCGACTGTCCACCACGTCAGTCACACTGGCCACACAGACGAGGGATGGGTTCATGCGGTCCACAGCCTCCAGCTTCATGCCCACCTGGAAGCCCACAGGTGGAGGACTCTAGGAGTAAGAAGAGGGCTGCCACAGCCAGGGCCAGGCTAGCTGGCAGCTAGCCCAGAGCCCATGGCAAGCACAGGAGCAGGTTTTCTATGAGGATTGCCTGAGCATGGGAAATGGGTACCAGGGAGAGATGGGCTGGGAATGAGGGTTGCTCTGGGCCACTTGGGGACTTTCTGTCCTCTAAGCGCAGTGATCTCCACAAGCTGACCTGTGGGAGAAGATAAGTGACTGTCCAGGGGCTATGTATTTACCCAAAAGTTCTGGCAGAGGACAAGTCTCCCCTACCTGAACAAACACATTCAAATACTCTGACTTAAAAAAATCTGCATTTCCTGTCACAATTGGAGGCGGGACTTTATTAACCTGTTAACCTGTTAACCCCAAGTATAGTCTCTGTGAATAGCATAGTGGAGTCCCTAGCCCTTTAATAAGGTCATTTGGGAAGGGCGCTCTTACTCCTAGGCTACACGGCCAGTATGGAAGTATTTTCAGTGGGGGTTCCCTCTCTCTCATACTCTTTGCTTGGGATTATGTGGTACTTAACTGCTAAAGCTGCCACCGACCTCTGAACAGATTAAAACCAGGAGGTGAGCTGATGAGGATGTTGGAGAGAAAAAGGAAAGGGCTTCTAGGGTAAACTTCCCCCTTATATAATAAGCTGAGGAGCAAACCAAAGGATGAATATCTGAGTGAGCAGACACAAGTCAGCACCCAGGCTGCGGAGCCAATGAGGGCCTCTGTGATGTATTGGGGAGAATTCTGCAGCAGAGAAGGCTATGGCTTAGGTGTGTCCCTCAAAGGGTCCTGGGCAGGAAAAAGACTGGAGGACCTTGGCTAGTCACTGAGAGATGGAATACTTATTAAAAGAATAGAAAGCAAGCTAGAGAAATGGCTCTGGGATTAAGAGTGCTTGCTGCTCAATCACCACGACCTGCAAATGTTTGCAACTTCAGTTCCAGGTTCCAATGCCCTCTTCTGGACTCTGCAGGACATAGGCACTGGCATATGCACAGAACACACACACACACACACACACAAATGAATAAGATAAATCATAAAAAAAAAAAAATAAAGCTTAAGCTGGGCATGCACACCTTTAATCCCAGCATTCGGAGGCAGAGGCAGGTAGGTCTCTGAGTTGGAGGCCAGCCTGGTCTACTGAATGAGTTCCAGGAAGCCAAGGCTACACAGAGAAACTCTTATCTCAAAAAAGCCCAAACGAAGAAAAAAGAAGGCACGAAGGAAAGACAGACAGAAAGAAAGAAAGGAATGAAGGAAAGAAGGTAGGAAGAAAAGAAGGAAGGAAGCAAGCTTGTGTTTAAACCCCCCTGACTCCTATGACCTCTTCCATACATGCCTTCAACAGCACGGGGTCATGTGCCACAGAGCCTCCAGAAAAGGCTACCTGATCATGAACTTCTGCTTCTGAAGATACAGAATGAAATAAGGCTCCTTTCTTTCTATATTATCCAGGTGTAGACACTTTTTTTTTTTTTCATAGCAACAACAACAGGAAAAAAAAAATGGATGAGGTCTGGTGAGATGGATCAGGGGTAGAGGCACCTGCCATCAAATCACAAAACCTGAGTTTGAATCCCTGGAACCACCCAGTAGAAGGAGAAAAACCCACTCCCACAAGTTGGCCTCTGACCTCTGTGTGTGCTGTGTGCCGTGTGCATCCACACACAAAACACTTAAAAAAAAAAAAAAGGTAATAAAAAAAAAATGGATGAAGACAAGATGAAAGTGGGAACTGGGGGAAATGTATAACCAGCGACCCCCCCCCGACACACACACACACACACACACACACACACACACACACACACACACA